AAACTTTCCTCTTGTTTGTTTAGCTGTATTATCTGGTTTTTTAAAACAGATAATATACTGCTTTTTTATAGTAAAAAATGATTACAAATAATGTATTTGTAAATGTTCAAGGTGGTCTCTTCCTGTGCTGGGTATTTAGCATGGTAGTTAAGAGCACGGCTTTTGATCCAAGCAGACTTGGAATGATGTCCTAGCTCTGCCACACTTTTTGACCTGGACAAGTTAATTTCTCTAAACCTCAGTTTTTTTAACTGCAAAAACTTAGGATAATAAAAATAGTACTGTTACCTAGTTTATAGGGCCGTTATGACAATTAAAGGAAATAATTCCTGTAAAGAACTGAAGCTCAGTGCCTGGCTTGTTAGAAAGTGGTGGTGGTATGCTGGTAGTAGTAATGATAATTGAAGTTGTTGCTGAAAGTGTTGAGAATTACTCTGTTTTACATTACAGATTATCTCTGATTGTACAGACTTCTAGTTTCATCTGTATTTAATGTCAGTTTTTATACATTTATAAAATGGAGTAAGATGGGTCAATATTTCTTTATTATAATGACCAAACTGGACTAGCTGATTATTACGGAATCCTCATTTGAGTCTGTCTGTGTAAACTACGTCCTGTCCCAGCCCTCCGTCACCAGTGGTGTTTTCTGTTACAGCAGCCCACCTCTTTCACATTTCTTATCACAATTTACAATTACTTATTTATTCCTTTCTGCACTTGTTTATTATCATTGTCCTTCATTTGGCTGTAAGCCCAACAGGAGAGAAACTGTGTTTTGACCTTATTTCCCCGGCGCCAGGCCCAGTATGTGAATAGGATAGGCCCTCAGCATGTAGTCATTGAACTGAGGAACTGTCACGGTTTGGGATGCTGGGCTTCAGTCCTAACGGCTGACGTGTCTGTGTTTGGATTGGTACAGCACTAAAGTTACCATTACAACAAAAGTGAATATTTAGGTTAAATAGATTCCTTTTGTAGCACAGAAAACGGATTCTAATTAAGTTCCTTTTGAGTTCAAATTTAATCTAGAAAGAAAGCTTTTTTTGTAAGCAAACAGATGACATTTCCAAGGATATGTAATTTCTGATAGTTTTCCTTTTTATAAGCAAAACTGAATGTTCCAGGTAACACGTAACAAAATTATAAACCTTCAGAATATGAAGATTTACAGAATTACTTATTAAATTTTTGGCTTTTTTTCTCTCAGGTTCACAGTTAATAGAAGAATCTCTATAGTCGGATTTGGCTTATATGGATCTATTCATGGCCCCACGGATTATCAAGTGAATATACAGGTACACTTTCCCCCTACTGTATATCATCTTGAAATACAACAAACATGTAATTTTACAATAAGATATTATTTTGACAGAAATCCAACCTTCAATATAATTATCAAAGGAATTAGAAGGCCCATTAGTAGCATTATAAGCCTAGAGTTCTGGTTTTTAGTTGATCTAAAAAAAAATCTAGTTTGAGAAAATTGGGATCCTTCACAAAAGCAACATCAGCATACAAGGAGCTCTGCTTTATCCAGGAATCCCTTCTATCAGTACTCCTGCTGTGCACGGACCAGCTTAGAACACCCTCCTGCTTTTTCCGTGGTATTTTCAACTCTGGGGCCTTGAAACTGTCTCGTTTCTTGTGACTACTGTGAACACCCTGTGACTTCAAGCGTCTGAGCAGACCCTGCCTCACTCTTTAGGTCTACTCCACCTCAGTTCTTCCAGACAGGGGACCAGACCCAATCCGCAAGAAAGTTAAATACCTCTCTCCTTCCCTTACTTATTCATAAAACTGTGTTCTCTGTACTTCTGATTGTACACCACAATTAGTAAAATTATTTTTGAAAACATCCATATCATTTTTATTTACAAACTGTATGCAATACTGTACGTGTATTTTGTGCATAAATTAAAACAAAAAATATGAAAAAAAGCAGCAAATAATGTTTCAAACTTTTATCAACAGAAAAAAACTACCTTCTCCAAAATGTTATTAATGTTATTTCTAATAATAAAAACTTTGGTGAACTTTGTGATTGAAATACACTGTTAGTTTTCAAAATATTGGTTTTATATTTTGTGATACAACAGTTCAAACATCTAGTTCGATGATAGCCAGAAAAGATACCTCACTACCTCACATGGATGATACCATGCTCCAAGTGGAAGAATAGCATTATTCGCTATGCTAATGAAATCATTATGCTCCTTACTAATCCTGTCCACTAAGGTTTATAGTGAAATTCAGCTGATAAATTGACATCACTCATGTCAGTTTGTTGTTCTTATAAACACATGAGAAAGTTAAATTTTTAATATTTT